ACAAAAAATGATATTTACATTGGAACCTGCACATGCACGCCAGACCGCCTTGAAAAGGCGCCCTGATCTCAGAATTCTTTGTCAGTTTTTGATAAAACTGTATTATTTGCCTCAGGCAGCGTACAGACTTCTCGATGACGCGCGTCGACGCGCTATAACGCGCCGTAACGCGCGACGACGCGCCTCATAGCTAGGCGAACGCTGCCTCAGATACTGTTATCGTGCTCATTACTGTAAGTGATTAGTTTGTGGCACTTATGAATTGATGGATGCTACATGAAGACTGAGACATTATTGAATGCAAAGCCTGTTATCCTGTTGTTTTCATAGCACTGAGAATATCTTCCTCGGATTATAGCAAGTTGCTCAGAATAATGAAAGTGTTTCTTTGAAAGCCGTTGTTTACCACAAACACAACAGTGTAAACTGATAATTTATCTTTTTAATTTCAGAGAATAGATTCGATAAGCTCATTAGTGCATTTAATCCAGTGACTATAACTGTTATGCGTTAGAAATGGGTAAGTAGTGTTAAAATGGAATATGTGTCGCAAGCTGGTGATTATCACATCAAACGACACCATCGTTTTGGCCCTGGATTGTGCTCGTTCTTCTCACCGACGTTCTGCTTTGCGTCCACTGCTTTAGGGCGCACTATTCTGAAGCAACATGGTCTGGGTGATGTATTAAATGACTGATAGGCGAGGTTCATACTTCGCGAAAGTGATAATTTAGTCGCTTCGATTGCAGGCTTACGACTGACTTCAGAAAAAGGGTATGCCATTGCGTTGTGTTAATTTCTGCTATTACATACGACCCACCCACGTTTGACATTTGGTGGGTCGTATGTAATACGTACGTATGTGATGACGCTCCCCACCCTCCCCCCTCCCCCCCCACCTCCCTCTTTCGCTTGGCGGGGTCTTTTTTGAGGGGTTAGCAAATTTCTGAAAAGTCGCAGGAACTCGGGAATGTTTGACGAGTTGGCGAGCAGGTTGGCATGGTACAGGCATACCAGAAGAGCAAATTTCTAGATTTTCGGTTTTGCAAAAATTTTACACGACTTGGTGGTGCAGTGGTGGAAGATTTGGTAGATGGAGCGGTCCACCGAATAGCACTGGAACGCGTTCGATCCTCCTAGGCGGGCAATGATCTAGTACAAGCCTTCTTGACACGCTGAATTCAAATATGCCCTCGGAATTTGCGGAACGATTCTCTGAAGGGAGTTACGGACCACTCAATCTCTGCTGTGTTCGGACAAGTTCGACGACAAAAGATTGCGGGTAGTGCGTGTATATAAGCAGCACTGCTTCAGAGATACGAGGTCGCATGTTGGAATCCGTGACTCTTGGATATTTTTGCTTTTGTGTAGAACACTTCCTATGAGCTCCCAAATTACTTCTGTTTAGCTAGTTTACCTAGTTCTTTGATTATTTGACATCAGGAGCAGGTAAATTTCTGGTTCCTTTTGAGAAGTTTTATGATAAGGATACCCGTTCATTAGAGCTTGTGCTAAGAAATGAAGATCTTATGGTTTGAGAGCACATGTGGTATTCTTCCACGAAATGATAGAAACAAAACAAGCTCTCACAATGAGCACAGCGAATAAAAAGTACTTTTACGGTACAGTTACAGTTCTCCACCAGTCCAGAGGGAAAACCAGTACTGAAGAGGTGTTTTGAATTCACCACGATTTCAAAGTATCCAGCCGAATACCAAGAGTAGGATAAAGTTTCAAAATCTGGGTGAGCAAAATTGAAAATAGATCAGAGATAAAAGACGGAGAATGGAGTGCCGTCGGTGTATCCCCATTGTACACGTTGTTGTTGGCGTGTGGTCCCGTTGTCATGATAAAACTTCTCAAAAGGGACCAGAAATGGCGAATTTGCTTGCTCTCGATGTCTCGTAATCAAAGAACTAGGTAAACTAGCTAAACAGAAGTGTTTTGGGGACTCATAGGAAGATCGACTACACAAAAGCAAAAATATCAAAGAGTCACGGATTCCAACATGCGACCTCGTGTCTCTGAAGCAGTGCGCTTGTATACACCACCAATTGCTTGCCGCGATCACTTGTCGTTCCGAACTTTTCGAAACACAGCAGAGACTGAATTGAATTGAACTCCCTTCAGAGAATCGTTCCGCAGATTCCGAGGGCAGATTTGAATTCAGCGGGTCATCGACCTGTTGGAGTTCCCTTGTCAGCCCCAACTGTCGCGTAGTATGAACACTCTTATATCTTTGAGACCTTCCGAAGTAGACGGGCATTTTCTTCTTGTCATCGTAAATAATCACTGTGTAGGGGCATTTGATGTGGGCGACGTTGAAGGGAGATGATTGCAAAACGACGCGCTGACTGAAATAAAAACAGTTCACTGTGTGAACCATTTCAAAACGAATGGAAAGTGTTCCGAGATACATACATGCTGGTCATGTCTGGAGTGTGGAACACGGTTATTGTGTCAAAATGTTGAATACTTGAAGTGAACTTTTTGCTGAATTCGGCGCTTGCCTGGAAAGTTCCGTTGAGGTCATGAGATAAGCTCAAAATCTGCTGCTTAGTCACGGCAATATACCTGTGATGAGGCGGATCTCATCAGAGACAGTTACGCCAATGCATGAAGTGAGTTGTGTGGTTCGTTAGATACCGAGCACGCGTTCACACTCTGTGACGCGAGCAGTTCGGTCGCGCGATTTGTGAATCAAAGGACTGCGACCAAGTCACACTCCTTAGCTGGTCATAGTACCTCTGCAGTTTCGAAAATTTCTATTGTGAATGCTCTTGACAGTTGCAGTGGTATAACGACCAGCCTTATAGCCCGGTCAACCACATTCGCGTTACCAAGTCGCCCGATTCACGAAGTATGAACGCATCCTAAGCAGGTCCGCCAGTGGGGGGAAGGGCGAAGGCAAGAGGAACAGCTGGAAACACCAAAACGAGGGGGGGGGGGAGGAGCAACGCGCTTTAACTCATCATCCATTGCATCGGTGTCGCTCACAAGAAAAGTGGAAGTGTACTTCAGCTTTTTCACCGTCACTCCCAGCATTGAGCTGTAGAATCGGTCCGACTGCTGGTTGGTCTACAAAGCCCACGACCGAAATGTGTGCAGTGAAACAGGAGGGGAGAAATAGCTGAGTGTTCTTTCATAACTTCGCCTGCCCACCACGGCGTAGGCACGCAAGGTGCCGCGCTACCGGCCACGCATCTAGCTAGGCCGAACAAAGGTACTTGTCTGCACCCTCTAACGTTCGACTGAGACGCCATTGTTTCCTACAGCTCCTTGGGTACTCTCTCGAGCAGCGTGCCGACACGGTCACGGATTTTCGGTTGCCTCAGATGCGCATCCAAAGAGGTGTAGAGAACTAACCCAGTGAACCGTGGGAGGGTGCGGAGCAGTGCGCGTCTGGCCTCTCTAAAGGTATGGACAGTCGCGCAGGTTGTTCCATACCTATGGCTTGATGGACGGGCAGAGTTATAAAGGAACCTCTTTCCTCTCTAATTTCAATCACGAGCATTCGCTGTCGTGAAAGGCTTCGTTAGCTGCAGACTGTTTGGAAGAATCTGTCTCACAGGTGCGCGCACAATATTTCTTTGACTCTGTAATATGTAGTGGACAGGAGAACGGGTCGAGCTACAGATACGGTTACTGGCTAAAGCCGTGTGTAAGGCTCAATCAAAAAGTCCAGTTCAGTTGCTCCTTCCACTGGAAGATAGGCGAAGCTCGAGCGTGAGTCCCTAAAGCAGCTCATTTACGTGAGTTGCACAATGTTCAAGCCATGCAAGTCTTCCATTCCACTCTAAGGGGTCAATAATAGGAGTCAGAAAGGCTGTGTGCCATGCACCCTGCCCCATCCATAACATTGGTGTCATTAGAACGTGCAATGGGTTTTGCTACAGCTTTACACCTATGTGCAAGACTGTTTTGTTATCTTCAGAGTCAAAAAGAGTTAACGCCTAATGTAGTCATCTAATCTGGATGTATAAGAAGCTTCGCTGGTTTGAGGGGTGTTAGGCCTTCGCGCAGTTAGCACGATGAACGGCGCGAGCAGCTTGCCATATGCATTGAGTTGTTCCTGCCATCTGATTTAGATTGAGCGCCGTTCCGTTAGCGCAGGGCGTTGATAGGCTCAGTCAGAGTACATCATTGTTGGGGATTCACTAACGGAGGGGGTCGTATTTGGTCGCTGGGGGAGAGGGGTATCTTTGGTCTGAGAGAATTTTTCCGAGAGCTGATCGTTCTTGTTTCACGGGCGCTGTAGTAGGAGTCGTATTTGCTTGTTGCTGGGGAGGGGGGAGTCGTATATGCCCTCTAAGGGAAACCTGCGGCAATGGAAAAATTTTTCGCGGTTTTCCTTATTTAAGATGTGCTCATGTGCTATAGAGCTCCCTGCCCTCGAAAGCAAAACTTCGAAAGCAAAATTTTGGGGAAAAAGTACGAAAATTTTCAAAACATTCTGGAAATACTGAAAAAAGTGGTAGGAAGCTGGGACTCTAAAGTAGTAGGTAGGATGGAGATCGTATTTCCTTCGCGGTTCTTCCCTTTTCACATATACCTCCTTCACCTTCGACAGTTCGATCGTATCAGTGGGAGAACTGGGGGGGGGTCGTATCGATCCCCCTTTAGGGGGAGGGGGTCGCACGGACTCGGCCAAGGTCTCCAAACAATGATGTGCCCTGGGCTGCTCGTGTTTGCCGAATAAAAGTTTACAAGAATTTGATCGCAAAGAACGAGTTACTTCTGCATCTTCCATGGCAAAATCTCCAAAGCCTCCATGTGAAAAGAGTGGTTCCGCGTCCAGCGAATTCTGAAACTTTTTTTAGTTTAATAAATAATTGATGGCTTCTCGGTCTCACCTTAATCCCTTTAGCAACGTTGGAGACACTGTCATGTGGCCACCATATTGGAATGTACGCAGTGTGAGTCTCAGGCGTTGTCTAAAAGAACGCGTGTGATGCTGTGTCGAGGACCACTTCGCAGCCATACTTTTTGTACTTCTCTGATCATTTCGACTAGTTGAGGACCAGTTGTCGATCGCTCAACGTCCGTGACGAAATAAAGGAAGACGCTGGTAGCGTTGGTTGGCACTTCGAGTATTCCAGTACGACCTTGAACATTCTTTATCGGTCCCGGTCTGCTAGGATTTGTTTCAAGCAAAGATCGATATGATAGATTAGTAGCAAGATGATGAGTTGGGCTCTTTCCTCAGACGAACGGCGATCTGATGTCAGGCGTCTACCGTAACTTGGCTGTTGAAGACAAACTGCACACTCACTTCCGTAGATCCTTATCCTTGCGCCATCTCCATACATCGCTCGCGTATTCCTCATAGTGCACCACTAACGTCGATACGAAGAGCCCTCAGAGAAATTTGCCCTCAGTGGTAGAAAACACCAGAAGTGATAAGGTGCAGACGAGTAGAGCGTTTGGCTATGGTAAGCCAAACGGCCGAGCACTTTCGAGGATTGAAAGCGTTACACATGTACAAATTCTAACCCTTTCTCCTCGCACATGACAAATATCGTCTTCAGAGATAAGTGTGCAGTTTGTCTTCAAGACACAGAGAATCTATGTGCATTATGACGCTATATAGGTCATGGTAACTTTGTCACCCTGCGTACTGCTGTGAATATTGGAGCGTTTCCGCTCCGTTTATTCGTTTCAGACGACGTTTTTACGACGACCCACCGGAACTGCAAAACCTCATCTTTGGTTTTTCACTGTGAAAACGAATGTACATTTCCTCTCCCTTGGCCTGAAGTTCCAGATTTTTTTCGGGCAGGAGCAGTTGTGAACTCCACCAGTTTTACTTACGTCGGCTGTTCCACTCATTGTGAAGACTGATTCAGACTCGAAAATACCAGACTTGAAAGTGATCTGAAGTCAGCAAACTATGACTCGCAGGATGGGGTTAGAGAAATTTTGGAATCAACCTGAAAATGACTAGCCCAAGCGAATATCGGACACCGTTGATTTGATTTGGCCATTATGATATCACGAGTGATCGATTCTTTTACAACCTAAAAATACGAGAATAGGGTACTGTCCCTTGACCTTTCTTTTACGCGCCTGTTATCTTTGTTGCTTTCTTTTCCTTCAGTCAATAGTTATCCTTCGCTCGGTATGATGATTGGCGCGACAAATTCCTACGGAATCGAAGCGTCTAGCAGAAAAAAATAGTAAAATTGCAGGAAAAGCCGTGAGCCTTTATGTGGGGACGTTCACCGTGTATGACCCTATAAGAAGCCTTGAGCAAGACCCTTCATGTCAAAAGTCCTTCTCCTAACCAGGATCACCGCCCGAAGATTACGCATCCTTGATTCTGATACTACTAGTAGGCAGTGATTAATTTATTATCCGGACAAGGAATAGGAGATTCGGCGCTGTTTGGCGACGGGGGGGGGGGGGCATTTTGCACTTTAACGACTTCCCATCGACGTGTCGACCCATCTAGACAGCCTCCTCGAGTTGACAGGTTTTACCATGATGGCTTGACGAGCTTGCTCCAGCTTCACAAGAGTTCACAGGTTTCACCAGAGTGAGACTTGTAAAACCAGAACTAGTGAAGCAACGAAAGTGCAAAATGCACCTCCCCCCACGTCGGCATACTGCGCCAGGAGATTGTACCTATCAGGCAATTGCGGAATGTGTTTTTGAAGTTCAGATTCGAATCTTCTCCTTTCTCCAATCTGACAGTTGTCAAATGACAGTTGTTTTGAACTAAATTATCCCACGAGTAACCCATTCTATGGCACGTTGAAATGCCACTCCTATTCCGTTACAGATAAAGAGTTTACGGTGCCGCGTTCGGAGCAGTCTTGTTCCTGTTGGGTGCAGACATGTCTCACTGAAACCCCTTTGCGAACTTGTTCAGAGAGGTCCGCGGCAAATATGGAAGACGGGTAACATTCTTTCCTGGTAAAACCGGATCACCGAATGCAACAAACTTACTTTTTCTTCTTTTTTCAAGTGGGGTTCAACACCCCTCCATAGCTCATATGGACAAGTAAAAAGTGATGTAAGCTGGAAAATTAGTCCTGTTATGTGGTAATACTTTTATGGGGCCGTAGTAAAAAAAGTGATGGAGACATCACTTCCATTTCTTCGAGGCCTTCGAGCTTTTGTTCACTTACCCTCAGGTTTTTTTGAATCCACTGAACGATTTCGTTTGGTCCATCGAAAATTTTCATTTCTACACCGAGACTGTTTAGGGTGACGAAAGTGTTATATGCATACGATTTTGTAAATTTTGGATGAACAAGAATGCGACGAGCGAGTGTGAATATACCTGAACAAAACCCGACTTCTTTGGGAGGAAGCGAAAAGCCGCTAGTCGGTAATTTTTTTTCAAGGACATGTACGATACAATGTGCACGATTGCTTGGGAAGCCTAAGGAGTCTATCTTTCTCGTGCGCGCCTCGAGCCAGTGGTTTAATACCTCGTTCTGCGGGGCAATGAAGCTAGCTTGTGATACCTTGATTTCCATCTTAATTCCATTTATTGTTTGATATACGATCAGGGTACAGCATCGTGGTGTGAAACACATAGGGGGTTGTACTTTTTTCTCTGGCGAGGGGGGGGTCATTTGGTCGTTGGGAGGGAGAGAGGGGTCGTATGTGCCTTTGAGAAAAATTTGTCGCGTTGGTTTTCCGGTTGTTGACTTTTTGCGTGATTTTCCTGTTTCATGTGCACTATATACCCCCACCCGCTCGACGAAAAATTTTTTGGGTGAAAAACTGGAGTGGAAAATGTGGGGAATTGGTAGATGTTGGGGAAGGGGGGGGGGGTCTTACCGAGAACATTTAGGTAGGGTGGTCGTACTGACACCCTCTCTCGGAGGGGGGGGGTCGCACCTACACCACCACCACCTCACACATCATGATGCTCTACCTGCATACGATGAGCTGGCCGCACTAGACCCAGAAGCCACACAGCTAGCCGTACGCACTTGTCGTCGGCGCCCTTTCACGAAAGGCAGGCCGTATGGCGCGGAGGCGACATTATTAAGTGGCACTGAAACAGGAAAACACGCAAAAGTCAGCAACCGGAAAACCAACACGACCAATTTTTCTCAAAGGCACATACGACCCCTCTCTCCCTCCCAACGACCAAATGACCCCTCCCCCCTCGCCAGAGCAAAAAAGTACAACACCCTATGTGATTCACACACGATGCTGTCGCCTGATGTATTACCAACCACTAAATGGAATTAGGATGGAAATCAAGGTATCACAAGCTAGCTTCATTGCCCCGCAGAACGAGGTATTAAACCACTGGCTCGAGGTGCGCACGAGAAAGATAGACTCCTTAGGCTTCCCAAGCAATCGTGCACATTGTATCGTTCATGTCCTTGAAAAAAAAATACCGACTAGCGCGCTTTTCGCTTCCTCTCAAAGAACTTCGGGTTTTGTTCAGGTATATTCACACTCGCTCGTTCGCATTCGTTGTTCATCCTAAAATTCACAAATCGTATGCATATAACCTTCGTCACCCTAAACAGTCTCGGTGTAGAAATGAAAATTTTCGATGGACCAAACGAAATCGTTCAGTGGATTCAAAAAAACCTGAGGGTAAGTGAACAAAAGCTCGAAGGCCTTGAAGAAATGAAAGTGTGTCTCCAATCACCATTTGTTAAAAAAAAAAAAAAAAAAAAAAAAAAAAAAAAAAAAAAAAAAAAAAAAAAAAAAAAAAAAAAAAAAAAAAAAAAAAAAAAAAAAAAAAAAAAAAAAAAAAAAAAAAAAAAAAAAAAAAAAAAAAAAAAAAAAAAAAAAAAAAAAAAAAAAAAAAAAAAAAAAAAAAAAAAAAAAAAAAAAAAAAAAAAAAAAAAAAAAAAAAAAAAAAAAAAAAAAAAAAAAAAAAAAAAAAACTACGGCCCCAAGAAAGTATTACCACATAACAGGACTAATTTTCCAGCTTACATCACTTTTTACTTGTCCATATGAGCTATGGAGGGGTGTTGAACCCCACTTGAAAAAAGAAGAAAAAGTAAGTTTGTTGCATTCGGTGATCCGGTTTTACCAGGAAAGAATGTTACCCGTCTTCCATATTTGCCGCGGACCTCTCTGAACAAGTTCGCAAAGGGGTTTCAGTGAGACATGTCTGCACCCAACAGGAACAAGACTGCTCCGAACGCGGCACCGTAAACTCTTTATCTGTAACGGAATAGGAGTGGCATTTCAACGTGCCATAGAATGGGTTACTCGTGGGATAATTTAGTTCAAAACAACTGTCATTTGACAACTGTCAGATTGGAGAAAGGAGAAGATTCGAATCTGAACTTCAAAAACATTCCGCAATGCCTGATAGTACAATCTTCCCTGGAGCAGTATGGCGACGTGGGGGGGGGCATTTTGCACTTCGTTGCTTCACTAGTTCTGGTTTACAAGTCTCACTCTGGTGAAACCTGTGAACTCTTGTGAAGCTGGAGCAAGCTCGTCAAGCCATCATGGTAAAACTGTCAACTCGAGCGAGACTCCTAGATGGTCGACACGCGAATCGATGGAAGCCTGTTAAAGTGCAAAATGCCCCCCCCTCCCCCGTCGGGAAACAGCGCCGAGTCTCCTATTCCTTGTCCGGATAATAATAGTATCAGAATCAAGGATGCGTAATCTTCGGGTGGTGATTTTGGTTAGGAGAAGGACTTTTGACATGAAGGGTCTGCTCAACGCTTTTATAGGGTCATACAGCGGTGAAACGTTCCCTAACATAAAGGCTCACGGCTTTTCCTGCAATTTTACTATTTTTTTTCTGCTAGACGCTTCGATTCCGTAGGAATTTGTCGCGCCAATCATCATACCGAGCGAAGGATAACTATTGACTGAAGGAAAAGAAAGCAACAAAGATAACAGGCGCGTAAAAGAAAGGTCAAGGGACAGTACCCTATTCTCGTATTTTTAGGTTGTAAAAGAATCGATCACTCGTGATATCATAATGGCCAAATCAAATCAACGGTGTCCGATATTCGCTTGGGCTAGTCATTTTCAGGTTGATTCCAAGTTTCTCACCCCTAATTCAAAAACATAGTTTGATGAATTCAGATAACATTCAAGTCTGGTATTTTCGAGTCTGAATCCGTCTTCACAATGAGTGGAACAGCCGACGTAAGTAAAATTAGTTGAGTTTAAAGCTGCTCCTGTTTCGAAAAAGTCGAAATTTCGGGCAAAGGGAGAGGAAATGTAGCCTTGTTTACCGTTGAAAAAACCAAAGATGAGGTTTTGCAGTTCCGGTGGGTCGTCGTACAAACGTCATCTGAACAAACGGAGCGGAAAAGCTCCAGTATTCACAGCAGTATGCGGGGTGACAAAGTTACCATAACCTACATGGCGTCATAATGCACATAGATTCTCCGTGTCTTGAAGACAAACTGCACACTTATCTCTGAAGACGATATTTGTCATGTGCGAGGAGAAAGGGTTAGAATCTGTACATGTGTGACG